TGATTTGTTTGCGCGGGTTCTTGATGTACGAATGCTTTCTATTTCACATGATATTTTTGCGAGAAACTTCATGATGGACCCTTGCAGTTGCTTTGATTGATTGCATTTTTGAAATAAGGTGGTGGATCTACTCTATTTTGATCTTTAGTGTTAAAAATGCGGAACTGCGAAAGCATATTTACTCTCTATTGTTTTGAGTTTTCACGTGAATAATTTTTATTCGCTCACAAATGAATAGCCTTGTTAATAACAATCAATTTATAAAGCATACACTACACTGAACAAAAATCAAAAATTGGAAGATGATAATTTCGACGCTTGAGACTTTTGTCTCAGAATTCTATCCTGGTTGTGTTGTACAGTTTGAGAAAGTTGATTGTTAGAGCAACTCTCTTTTGGCTTTTTCTCTGAAATTTCCAACAAAAGTGAACTAAAAGGCTGTGCCACATATGCTAAAGAAGGAAATACCGTCTACACTAAAATCAGGTTCTGCGACCTCAATTTTGATAGTAATATGTGATGTATGAAATATTGGGTTCCTTATAGGTTTTGAGAAGTCGTGGGTTCCATTGTTCTTAATGACTAACAGACATTATGAGCCTGATTCCCCTCGATCATTTCTAAATTTCTGTTTAATTGCTTCATGAGTCAGCATATTTTTTTTAAAGGTTAATATCGTTTGTTGACTGAGGAATTCGATTTCCGCAATAACCCGTGTGCAGAAAGTTTAGAAATATGCAGCAAAATTACTAATGCATAGTAGCGGTAATTCCATCTAATTCGAATCAGTAAAGTTACTTTTTTACTACTATTTTCGTGTCTAGACTGCAAAAGCAAATTAAAGAATACAGATTAAGAGTCAAGAGCTCATTGTGTTATGAGTTAAAGTTTCATGTGAAAAGGATGATAAGGGAAAAAAACTGAGAGCAACCGGGATGAACAGTATTCCATGTAATAATCCAATAATCATTGTAAGCCAAATAGTCTTGAAAAATGTTAAAATTATATATGCGTCTACTGTATATAGCACTGATATACCGACAATTGTTGATGTTGCGCCCTAAAAGCATAAAATTTGTGTTTTTAGTGTCACTGCAGCAGTACTCTAACTTCCAACTAGAGCAAAATTTCAGAGTATTCAAGTGATTTATCTTTATTTCGTTGATGTAAAAATGATTGTGAATTGGTGAGCGTTCCTAAAATATGAATGGATCTGAAAAAAAGCAGACTTGGAATATAGGCCATCCAAGTGATTGTAAAGCATGTCTAACTCGTTGTTGAGATGAACCAAAGGCATTGACAAAAGCATAAGTAATATGGGAAGATAAATCAACGGCGAAACCAATACTCATAATAATAGAAATCATGGATACGGCATCCAAATTAACACCCCAAAGTGTCATGTAGCCAAAAACACCAATGTTTATCGATATTATGGAGAAGATAATCAGTACACCTAAAACCACTTGATTGCACTTACAAGCTGTGGATTCTATAATAATCATCAAATGGGTTCATGAAACAAGGATATGAAAGGGGGTTTACTCAAACTTTTTTTTGTAAAGTAGCTAGTCTGATAGAAGTATCAGATTGAAGAATATAAAATATTTTCAGGGGAATGTCTACCTTATGACTACTATAAATAAGAATCGTATTGCTAATTAGCATACGTGATAATGCTTACAGGAAGCCAAATTTGGTATCAACATGAAAGCGACAACTGCCATGCACGAAAGTGATATAATAATATTGCGTACAGTTGCTGGTACGATAATAATGTACTGATCAGCAAAAGGAAATGTTTCATGAAATATTTCAATCTCAAATGTTTGCTGTGAAGATGCTATTTGACGTAGTTTCTGTGCTGCGCGTTTTTGCTGGTTTGCTTGCACAAGGTTTCGCATTGCAATCTGTAAATTTTCCAAATCTTTTTTCATTGGTCAAAATTAAAAGTGAGATTAAATATAATGATAATAGAGAAAATAATGACAGTAGAATCTTTGGAGTCAGACGACAAGCGGTAATAAAAAAGTCTAAAAATTCCTGAAATGAAGAGCAACCTGAAATCGAAAAGCTTGAAGAGTGCCATTTTCATTAAATCGAATGTCTGAAGCCCACTGACTACTTCCTCCTGTGTATTTCAACCAACTCAACAATTTTGCATTCCAAATACTTCAAAATATCTTCTTTTCAATTATGCAATAAAAATTCCCATTTTTTATTTTTCATAATTACCGAGTAAACTTAAAAATGAATAGTTATCTTTATAATTATCTAATTTATAGGAACAAACCGTTCTGTATTTTCTAATTCAGCGTTAACTTCGTCAAGATAATTCAAATATTCGAGAAAGAAAAAAATCGTTCCCTCTCTGCCCATCGTATATTCTGTATTTTCAAATGCTCGAACTACACCCATTATTCTTTCTCTTTAAAATTCTATCATTTTGAATTTTTGTATCAAAATTATTAAAAAATGAATTACTCATCACTTATTCAATTCTCACTGGCTACGCGCTTTCAACTTTTCATTTTGCTTAAATGCTGGAGAGAGAAAAAGTGGTTTTATTCCTATGTTTATCTCTCAGTTTTTGTAGTATATATTATTTCATTCGAATAGTTTTAATATAAATCATCATTAGTTAGTTACCTTTGCAATGGGTCGGTAAAATTTGGTGAATTTTTCACAGCTACATGAAGTTGTGTGCCTTGAATCCAGAAATTTTTTAAGTCAGCAAAATAATGAGCTGTATAGTGGTTATTTGTAACTAAATTTTCCGGTTCCAATCCTTCCTGAGATTTTGGAATCTAATCATTAGAACATATAAAATAAATTTAAAAATTTTTGACTAATACAGACTCGAGTAAAAGTTAAAATGTTACCGAGTAATTGAAACATCCAATTATGGCGAAAGTAAGGTAAGTTGTGTAAAAAATGAAAGTTAAAAGAGCACATCCTTTGTGCAATAGAAGCTGAACGTAAAAGTGACTGAAGATATACTGGATTTGATTACTCTCCACTATCCCAGCCGTTTGATCTTTAAGTTCTGGCAATTTTGCAATACAGAACCCTGAAAATTATGATTGACATTTTTAAATATTTTAAGCTTTTTTACAAATTGATTTTAATCAAGATAAATTAGAGCAGCGTGCATGATTAAATGGTAAATTCTAGATGAAAACGACAACCAAGACTTACAAAAAGTAAACAAATGTGTATGATTGTATAATTATAAAAAACAAAATGTGTTTTTTATGCACATATTACCTCTTAATTGCCTCTGTACTACATTTTTGGCTTTCAATTTCCTTAAGAATACAGAAATAATGCACATACCATAATGGTTTGTCATATAATCTCTTCTGGCACCAATTATTTCTTTAGACTTTTCTTGACAAAATTCATCAGTAAGAGTAATAAGAGTAAGGGTTTTGATAGCGGTTTTTAATGTATTACTATCTGACTCTCCAATATTACCCAAATTACATGATATATTTGATCTACTGAAACAGAATTTGTAATCAATCGCAAAATGAATGCATGGAATTTAAAAAAAGGATGGAATTTACGTAAAGAATACCTGCCAGTTGATGAGCACCGCAAGATATTATCCACACAATTCTTGCCGATGAAACATTTACTACTACCAACCATTGTAATTTTTTTGCATTTTTTTTTGACTTTGTAAAAAAATAAACAATGCCGCTGGTTTTGTTCCACTTCACCCATTATTCCGAGAAATGCCGTAAAAAACGTTAACTAAATTGGAGTTTTTTTAATTCTTCATGGAACTTACTGATTTTATGTAGAATGCGCCACAGAAATTTTTGTCAAATTTTCAAGCAAAGGAAAAACAGATTAATGAAATTACTAACTTGATAAAGGTATGAAAATACGACAGTTATACATGCATAACTGCAAAAAAGTTGTATACCAGGCAACTCGCTGACACAACCAATGGCAAATGATAAGATATCAGTAATATTTGTGATAGAAATTGTAACACCAGCATGAGCCATCATACTGCTCATTCTTAAATCACATAATCATAATGTGTTTGAAATGTAGAGAAAGAATTATTTCCATTATAATGTCAAATGCCTTGTTTACGAATACGATCATTTTGAATTTTGGATCATTTATGACTTGATGCAATCTATCCTTTTGTGATTTTATAACCAAGTAATAAAAATAACTTGTACGAATTGCACTAAAAATCTTCATTTTTAATTATTAAACTATTTTTAATCATTCAGAATTGAATTTATGAAAACCATAATTAAACTGCAGTACTGTAGTAATTTATAGTTAAACTGAAAGTGTTGAAATTTAGATGAATTAAACGTATGAATGAATAATGATATTTAACCTTTTTGACGCAGAATCTTTTTGATTTGTTTGCTCCCAACAAGCATTCATTACAAACATATCATCAATACCAATTGCTACAACTGAATGTAATAAGCCCCCTCGATTATCTCATAAACGTATCAATGAAAGATCATAAATAAAAATACAGAAGATTTTTTGATCCTAAAAAATTTTGAAACTATGTAAAATAAGCGTAGAATAAATATCTAACCAGTGATAAGAAATGGTATAATTGTATTAATAACATTATATTGTATGCCCACAATTAATGCCAACCCAAAACCGCTGCAAATTGATAACAATGTTGTGATAAGACCTGAAATTATTATTGCATGATTATTACAAGTGATTCTAATTAATTAGTAGTTTTATTTGAAGTGGTACTGAAAAAAATGCTGTAGATATTAAATTAAAATTGAAACTTATCTTAAAGAATAGCAAACGTTATCTTAAAGAAAAAAGGGCAGATTTTATAATACCTGCGAATGCCACATATGGCTTACTGCGCACCCAGTCGATGCTTGCTTTTCCACGCTTTTCTAATCCAAATGAAAATAATATGGCATAGATTGAGAGCGAAATAAAACTCATCAAAAAATTGCCCGCAAAATTATTTGCATTTGCATTTAAACCATCCTAAAAAAATTTTGACTTCTCCAAATTATTAATGTCTGAGCTGTACAAATAACCAAAATTTTATCTGTTATCAAAATTACCTGTAATGATCGATAATGAGCAAATGAAAACGAAATTATATCACTTTTGTAAGCATACAATAGATATTGTTCTACTGCATATGAAAATTTTGTTGAATAATGACGAATTATATCTGATTCTTGTTTTAAGAAATAAAACAGTTGTGTTAACTTTGCTGCTTTTATAATACCAGCTGATTCATTTAATTTCACATCACTGAGCAGTGCTCCAAGGTAGACTGGTGTGTCCTAAATTCATATTTACTTTTTAATACATTTCTTCTGAGCATTTTATCAAGAGAATGTTGGTAAAATTAATTTATAAAATGTATATGTGCGTTTTGTATAAATAACAAAAATAACAGAATCTGCTTGGACTTTTATTTTGTAAGATGTCGAAATCTTAAATATCAATAAGTCTTTAAAATTTAGCCAAGTTAGCAACAAATCTCACCTTACTACCTGCGCGAGGATACGTTAATTCTAAAAAACTGCTCACTTTTAATCGTTCTTGTAACATTGAAATATGTTCGTTAGCACTACATACCCAATTGTAAGTAAGGCATAAATCCTGAATATTTATAATTTTTGAAAATTAACCAGTAAGTACTTGTTTGGCATTTTATGAAGTTTTTGAAAAATTGGTATGAAATTTTGACACATAAGCTGATAAACTCTATTTTAGTTAAAATAAATTGATGAGTACTGCTTATTCATTTCCTGAAATTTCTTTTGAAAACTAGTGAAACTGCTATTTTTGTTTATTATGATTATCGGACAATTTTACTTTATTATCATTATTTAATGAATGCAATTGCTTGCTTACCTGATATGTCAGGTTGTACTGTTGATCAGCCGTTTTAATGCTAATATTATACATAATCCATTGATTAAGAGTTTGTATTTCGTGCAGTATTTCTTGCCTTAATAAATCACCGCCATCTTTCGCTTTCACTAACACATTTATGAATTGTTTCATTTCAAATGATTTACCCGGTAAAAATTTGTTCTCATCCAATGGCCACAGTGATGCAAAAGTTTCATATTCTTGATGCCATCTGAAGCATGCATTATATTTTTTTAAATTAAACTTACATTAAATTTCATTTCACAAAGTGGCAATGAGAGTTAGTTTAAAAATTTGAATAACTACTGGATTCTATGCAACTTTTTAATGCATCATGTCATTAATAAATTAGGTTAGGTTTAATAATCTTCCCATATTCACCTAAACTAAATGCAATTACAAAGTAAGAAAGAACTATATTGGAATTTGAATGATTTTCAATTTTCACGAGCCATTATTCTAAATTCATTTGAATACGTGAACACTTGTTAAAAAATTGTTTTTAGCATTCGATTTTTAAATTGAGTCAAAAATCTCTAAAGTCCACTTTTTACCAAATACATGCCCTATTGAACAGAATTCATTTGATGAAAAAAATTTTTCGATAAACAGTATGAAGAAATGAATAAAAAAATATTGACTGCAAAAAAGTGAAAGTTTTTCACTTGGCATTTGAAGGTGTGAAAACATATAAAGGATCTTCAACAGATAAAGCAGTAAGGCGACAAAATCCAAGTGATAAAATTGGTGTTATGATCAAAGGTGAAATAACCAGAAACCATCGCCACTGATAACTAAATTCACCATACCATTGAAAGAATCGGCGAAGATGCGGTTCAGCCGAAGTAATCATTAATCTATAAATATTTAGCAATAATGCAATTACAATTCAGAAAGACAATATATGATGCAAAATGTTGGCAATACTTATTCTAATTTGATTTAATGTTTTAACAAATTTGAGAGTACATTATTTGATGTACATATATAAAAAAAATAAAATCAGGTGGTGAAGACCAATAAATTGTAATCGCATTAAATCTTTCTTTAACTAAGGAATTAAAATATCAAACAGTTTTTTTACATATAATTTTTTCATATATAAAATTAGTTATTGTAGATTCGAAAAGTGATTTTTTGACGAAATTCAAATTCAATGTTGGTCACTTATTGAGTTTACAGAATCATTCATGCTTGGTTGAAGCGATAATGTACAATTTTTCACTATTTTATCGGCGATGATGGAAAGTACAAATTAGATGTTAGAAACTCAGCTTGATTAAAAAATCTATTTTCTTACTTTTTTCTTGAAATTTCTCCAAGTATTCTTGTATTTAAATGATATAATACTACAATATTATTGATCACTGACAAGTAATATCTGCCTTTTACATACATATCACGAAAAAAAATGATTCAAAAATATTTTAAAAAAATAACTTCTTTCCGATAATTTGATATGAGCGAATTATACTAAATAAATGTTATCACGAAAACATATTTTTATCAATTATACTAAAGTAAATTTCAGTGAATCGACGAATTTCAATCGTTCTCTACAAAATTTATTACTTAAAAAATTCTCAACTATATCTTTTCACAGGCATGACTAGATCAAAGAAAGAAATTATCATAAAAATTTATTGCTCAAAAACTATTTGTGATTATGTATTGAAAAATACTTTTATTTGTAATAACTATCTGCAAATAATGCAAAGTATTGAAGTAAAAATACGCAAACAAAAATAATAGACAAAAATAAGGCAAAACTCAAAGCGATTACTTTAAAAGAATTAGAGATAAAGCAGCAAAGGTTTTGTTGTATGACTGCGAGATGAATTAATGATTATCTATCGAAAATGGGTCAATTGCAAAAAGAGAAAAATTTGATTGCAAAAATTTTCCACACCAAAAATAAAATGATATTACGGAAGTGACTGCTTCAATTTGAAAAAACTGTGCAAAAGAGCATGTTTTTGTAAATTTTTTGTACAAATCTGCCATAACCGAAATTTTTTTAACCAAAAAGTACTACTAATCATAGGATTATTGTTAACTGATAATCATCACTAAAAAAAATTCGAAACTTGTCATGTTCTTCATTTCAGAATGCTTTTTATCTTCAACAATTAAATTCATATTCATAGTGAAGATTGCAAATGACTTGAATTTAATTTCACCGTAAATTATTGACTAGTTCAAACTGAGTAAATGTTTCACGCATACAAAATATCGTCCCCATTTCTCACTTGATGTGACTACTTACAAAATGACACTGTTAAATAGTTGTAAAGAGCTGAATAATATATTCTTTGAATATAATCACTTTAAAATTACTGAGATATATTTTTTCTTCAATAACTACACAAAATTATTTACTCAATTTATTCAGGAATCAAAACCGATAACAGTAAGTTTGTTACAAAAGTTTCATTGCACTTTGTTACTAGTTAGTAAAACAATTTGCAATTTTAAGTTG